TTTGTACACAGCTTCCCATGTTCCCCAAGCTTCTGAAGACTAGTGTACATTCCTGATTTTTTTCTCCCCTCCAATGGGCAGACATCAAGTATTCATGATAAGCCTCATGAGATGACATGGATTGCTGCTTATCCTTATTGTGTTTATTTGGATTTATTCTGGTCTATTCCTTCATTTGAATGATTTAAGACACACTCATGCTGCAAGGTACAATTTTAACATTTAACCCATAAAGTAGAAGCCTGAATTTCCCTGAAGCAAGCAGAGCCAGAAAATGAGTCTTGAAAACCAGAGTAGTACACCTTGAAATGTCCAGGTTGGGAAGAATGAGTCTACTGTAAGATCTCCCACAAGGCTTTCTTTCCTGCTTCCCTGCATTCTAAGTCTAGAGATAACACAAACAAAATGTGCTAGCCTCATTTAATTGCTGGCATGCTACAAAGGGAGAGGCATATAAGGTGACTTGGTCCCTAACCACAGGAGGTCTCATAAGTTACATCAAATGTGTTTCTGCCTCCATATATAGGAAACGGTATTCACATCCCAGGGTACACATTAAACACGACAACACAGCTTTCAGCAAATAATGAACAGCAGGACTCCAGCTCTGACAAAGCATATGGGCATTTTTCCTACAAGAGGAAATACTTTTCACAGTTAAATAACAATAGAAATAGGAAGAAATAAAAAATTGCCAGAAAGAAATAAAAATGGGATTTCCAGCTGTGAGCTGAAAAGAAATGGAAAAGCAAAAGATGGAAAGATCTGGAAAACACTGCAACAGAGAAAGGTCTCTATGTATAAAACCATACAAAGAAAGAGGTAATGACAGACTTATTCTTTGGCACAAAAAAAAGAAAAAAAAAAAAGAAAAGAAAAAGAAAACAGTGGAGACTGGTGCAAATCAGTGGAGGAGTTACAGAACGAAAGAACCTGAAACTGCTTGCCACAGGGTCATGCTGTCCCAGCTACAATTACTGCCCAGCAGATCTACTGGGGTTAGACTAACATTGGGTAATACAGAAGAGAATGGAAGGTATTTAGAGGACTGGAAAGGTGGTTTTGGTTTTGTTTGTTCCTTGTTCATTTTTGTTTTTCTTTTAGTGACAGTTTTTTCTTCTGGCTTACTGGGATATCGGCCACTTGAATGTGAATTGCTGTTATTTCATATCAAATACCTTTCATTCTGTGCCCTCACAGCCTGAGATAAAGTGGAGTTGTTTTGTGCCTTTTGTTTTTTAGAGAAGGCAATTGAAATGATAGGGACAAGGATCAGTTGTTCATGGGGACAATCTCTCTTGATCTGTTTTGCCGCAAACCTCTTCCTTCAGGCCCAAAGCAATGATGAGGGGATAAAAAACTCCTCTAGGAGCTCAGAGAAGAGAAAACTGAAGAGTGGGGATGAAGAGTCAGCTGAGGCAGACCAGAGGCATGTCAGCAAGAAAGAGCATAAAGAAAATGTGGCCTGATGGGTAGGGCTCCCAGACCAAGCATCCAGGGGGTGTCCCTTAGCAGACCTACAAAGTAACCAGTGTGATGGGTCAGGAATTCAAACCATGCATCCATGGGAAAGTTTGCAGACTTAGGATATGACCAGTGAAACCACAGATCCTGTAGCCACTGAACCAAGTGGAAATGCTCAGACACTTGGTACTCAGTGTGACTGACTTTCAGACTAACAGGATCCAACAACTCTTGGGAGCTTGTTAAACGTGCAGAATCTCAGACCTACCCCAGGCCTGCAGAATCAGGCTTTTGGAAGGTAGGTCCAAAGTTGTTTTAACAAGCTCACCAGGTAATTCCTGGAAACGCTCAGGGTAAAAAACTAGTGACTTAAAGGGTCAGATACCCTGAGGTGTACTCTCGAGGTACCCTAAGAGCCTGAGCCAATATGAGAACATATATATTGGGAAGCCAATATGAATTACAGTGCAAGAAGAAATCATAGATTATCCAGTCTCTGCAGTTAGGGTGGCAAATGGGAAATAATAAAATGTATGAAGCATACAAATCACATTTGAAGTGAAGGAAAAAAATGGTGTTTTTTGTTTTGTTTCCTGAATAGAGAGACACATAGAGCTGTGTCAATAGTAAAATATAATGCACAACAGTGCAGAATGCCAAGGCTAAGAAGCAACAATAGCGTGAGAGCTGGAAGCGGTGACAGTGAGAATGACCAGCCTCTGCCCAGCCAAAGCAACAGATCCTGACGGGTAGAACAAATATAAATAATACAACACAGCTAATGGACAAGCATCTCTAATGGCTCCCCCATGCACCCTACTCAGCTCAATTCAAGTTTGTTTAATTGCCATGGCAACCTTGTTTTTGAAACGAGGTAGAAGATAGCTTATATAATATAGTTATTATTGAACATATGCATATGATAAATATGTAATATTATAAATTATATGGAAGTTTTATATTGAGCATACTCTTTATTTGGAAATAATATATGACTTGATAAAATTAACTAAAGGAAGATTTAGACGAATAAAAATTCACATTTGGAAGAAAGAAATATCCAGTGAACTTTAGTCTCTGATTAAAGGTCAGCTTCTCAATGAGGCTTACTTTATCAATTCTAACAGTACCTAAACAATATGATTGACACCTGCCCCTTCCCCAGTTTTACTGTATATTTCCATAACACATGTCTTTATAATGTGTACTATATAATTTACACATTGACGGTCTTCATTATTTTCTGGCCACTGGCATGGACATGCTATCGAGCAGGGATTTTTGTTTACTGTTCACTGTGCATTCCCAGCACTTAAAAGTATCCTGGAGCTCAATAAATATTTTTTGAATTAATGAGTTAATGAGATGAGTACTTCCTATCACTACACTATGGCAGACAAGTAGATGTTTTACAGGGATCTTCCTTTAAATGAATGACATTAAATTACTAGCATAGAATATAACTTCATGAATATCTATTTATTTTTACTGTTTTCCTATAGCAAAAGAGAATCAGGATTTTCTGATGTGAAATTTCCTGTTTTTGTAGAGACCCAGTTGCAGCTATAGGTCTCAGTCCCAACCTCTACTTTTGTTTCATTTTTATCAGTTAGAATCAGAACTATACCTTAAAATTGGTAACTGACTAGCCAAGTTCACAAGTCATATTTTTCTATATAAATACCTATAAACTCTTCCACTAAAGTATACTTAAAATATAAAGGATTAAGCATTTTGTCTTTGTGTAAATCCAACCAAATGCAGCTTTTCAGAGGCCAATGAAACATAAACATTTATTTTAACTGGCTTTTGCACAAAACACCTAGCAAATCTTTGAAGTAGTCCATAGTGACTTGAGCCTTTTGAAGAACAGATTGGGACATCTTCAGGAAGAAACTTATAACTGAGGTGGCCATGACAATAAGGGAAAATGAAGAATGTAAGAAGTATGTCTGACCAGTGGACTACAGCAAATGGGTCCTGTGGGTTATAGGCAAAGTAGCACACTGTGCAGCCAATCTAAAGCAGGATATGTGAGACTGTTCCTATGATAGCAATAATATATCCCTCAATAGGACACTAATGCTCAACACCAAAGCAAATCTATTCCTCACCTCCCTCCTCCCCCAAGGTAGGGAGAAAGCAGCAGTAGTGTGGAGACGTGTCATTCCTATAGAGAAAGATAGTGATTCAATGGGCCGAGGCTGTGAAGTCCTTTTAACCACAACTCTGCATATACTTGAGAGGTGCTGGCCGTTCAGATCCAGTTGCCATGCTGGCAGGCCACATGGCTCAATGGAGTTACGAGTACAAAGGCATCGCTGTGCTGTCGAGCCTGAAGACATGCAAGCCTGCAGGGCACGATGAAGCAACTCTACAAATTAGCTGGAATCCACAAATCTGGGATTTGAAAGACATTATTGTGCCTGGAAGAAATGAATCTTTGAGCAAGAAAACATTTCCTAAGGATTTAAAATAAAACCTAGAGTGAGGCTTCTATAATATTATCAGGCTAATGGTGACCACTGCCTTCAGAGCTGCATGGTGAAAGAAAAAGGGAACGTACTATTCATGAGTTGGTAAAATTGTTTCTAGGTTAACAGCAAAACTGAAATATAATGATGCTAAATCAAGTGCTTCTAATGGGTAATGGGAAGCCTTCTGTGTTGCCTCTCATCCCAGTATCTGGTTCAGGGAACTCAACAGTACCTACATTTGCCATATGTGGGCCTCCTCATTTCCTGGCATGGTAACCTCCTAAACAGCAGAAGCAGTTCAGGGGCAGGCAGAACTGGGAATGCCCCTTGAAGTAGAGCCATGAGAAGTATTCAAATAATGGAGCAAAACTCTAGCGGTTTGTCTGAGATTTTTTTTGAGGTCAATTGTCAGAAAAAGCCAACTTTTTGCATTTTGTCTTGTGGTTTCTTTTCCCCTTCTCCACCAAGGTTTTTCAAAGCAAAGCAAAAACCACTAACCAACAAATAGAATTTGAACCTTTGTCAGAGTTTAACAATAAGCATTAGCTTGACATCTTTTGAGAAAAGTTAAATGCTTCACATGCATAATTTTATTCATTTCTCCCAATAACTCCATGAAGTAAATCCTATTGTTATTTTCCCCATTTTGCAGGTAAAGAAGCTGAGGCTTACATCTGTTTAAAAACCTTGTCTAGGCCACCTAAATAAGAAGTGAAATCAGGATTTAATCCTCACCGGGTTTTAATGCAGTGCTCATGAAAAGTGGCCAGTTAACATCAGATTACTAGAGTTTAGAATTTTCCTTAAGGGTGATATTTAATGAGCCAGAAAGCAAGTATCCCCAAACTTCATAGCAATCAGCAACAAGTTCAAAACATGTATTTCTCTTGAAGGAATAAACAACCTGAAAGACTTGGAAGGGCATCCTAATGACCTCTCTTTTTTATTTTTCAAGTACAAGTTTGGGACAAGAGATAGAATGTAAGAATGAAATCTTCCATGAGAAAGGAAAAAAGTTTGAAATATAAATGTCCTTTCCTTCTCACTGGTTTTCTCTAGATTTTGATTGGGGCTGTCATTGCTATGGGCTCAGCAGACAGAGATGGCCGCTTACATCCGGGAGATGAGCTTGTCTATGTTGACGGGATTCCAGTGGCCGGCAAGACCCACCGCTACGTCATCGACCTTATGCACCATGCAGCCCGCAACGGACAGGTTAACCTCACTGTGAGAAGAAAGGTGCTATGTGGAGGTAGGCGCCTGGAACCAGCAGCCAGAGTTGGGGCTTGGGTGGTGAAACAGTTTTGTGGAACACTGTAAGGACACTTGAAACAAAATTTCAAATTGGTTTATATATTAGGAAAGAAACCTTGTAGATATTCCAAAAATAACTATGATTTTGAAAGTGCAAATTTTCACTTTCTTGTGCAAAAATCCAAACAGCCTTTGAGGCCTCCATTTTAAATGTAGGCATTAAAAATTTCTAGCAAAGCCCTGGGCTAACTCAAGATACATATGTTCTTTGTTCTTTGGTGGACTGCTGATTATAAGAGCAACATTGAGGGGGGCCAATAAGTGCCATAGTGGTTAGGGGCACTAGACTCTCCCCCTAGCTGACTGTGGTTCGAGTCACAGACCTGGCAGCTTGCTTTCTCACTTTCCCCATCTTTTTCTCTCTGCCTTTGCTCAGATTAAAAAATGATAATAATAATAAATAAAGTTAAATAAAATAATTCTTTTTTTTTTTTTTTTTTTGTGTATAGAGTGGGTGCGCGCGGCAGACAAAAAC